AATCTGATGTCCACATTTAAGATTTGGACAAGTGGAATATTTGTAGATTAAGGAAGGACTAAAACAGACTCACTCTAGTTTTTTATTGTCTTGCCATTGAATCAAACACTCTAATTACCGAACTAATTTGCAGTTTTTCTAATTCCTCATCAAATCCTCATTACCACTTGTCAAAACAAAGTAGGCTTTATGGCTGAGACAGAAGGAAAAACCTTCTTTTCTATTAGAAAAATTAAATGTTTGAAGCCTAGAAAAGCATGTGATAATTCAGTCTGACTTGCTGCAAACAGAAGGTTTCTGAGCAGTAATTCCTACATCTACAAGTTCCTCTTCAGCCAATGATTTAAAAGGATGATGGGTGTTAGTATGATTGTGAATGTATCCCATTATTAGAAAACGGTTAAATACCTTCATGATTTAAAATACAAACTTTCTGCTTGGGTTTTTTAAACCATCTTCCATCCCATTTTTATTTCTATTCTTTTGTGTGATAGGTTAAAGTTCTGTCTATTACCAGAAGTCTTCATAAATAAATAATTACAGACTGCGATCAAACTTCAAATCAATAATCTTTTTTAAAATGAGTGGATCGGACTCCTTCTTTTATGTATGGAAAATTTACTAGACCTCAAATAATTCTTCCATATTTTTTGTGAACTCTTTCAAATTTATAAATAGCTTTTCTAAAGCACAGACACCACAAATTGAATTTCAGTTTTTCAGTAAGGGACACAAAAATTACAGCTGGAGGTAATGACGTCTCCTATTTTCTACTTGGTAATTTTTTAATTTTTAAATTTTTTTTTATTAACCCAAGAGTTACCTTTGTTCCATTACCCAACATGAGTTGTAAGATATTACAGTACTACCTTTTAAACATCTTTCCTTTGCTTTAGGAAAACAGAACACACTAACTATTATTTTATTTTATCTTTTCCAAGGTGAAATTATTTAATTGCAGCATTAAAATACAGTATTTTTCATGTTCTTGCAAAAGTAGTTAGATATTTCCCTAATAAACTTCATTAAATTAATAATAAATAAATAAATCTTTGCATTCCAATGATCTAAGTATTTTAATCTTTTATTATGGATTTCCTCATAAGAAAGAGGAATTCACCTGTATGTAATACTTTTCAGGTTCCGGTTGCATGCACTAAGTAATCAAAAATAAATGTATCTTCATTTTGAAAATGAAATAATTTCATTTGAGTAAAAAATATACAAAAGCAAGAGGAGTGTGTAACTGTTCTGAAAATGGGAGAGAAAAAAATATAGACCACACTTATTGTGCTCTAAAATGAAAATAACAACCTGGAAAAGTTTCTACTGAAACTTTCAGTTATGATATAGGCATTTAGTATTGTTTTCTTCCTATTTTTATTTGATTTTGATTTTGCACACTGTAAGTAACCATGCTTCCTACCAGAACTACTTCCTACTCAGAGCCTTTGCAAGCCAGGGCTGCTGTCAAATTTATTTTCAGGTTAACATTTTGTAGCTGTCCTCATTATTACAAAAGAGTATGTATATTTTGTAAACGAATAGGTTTGGCTGGGAATTCTCCATTACAGCAAATGCATCTTTAGGTATGTTTTGTTAGCTTTGCTAACAAATGAAGCTATTTGCAATGAAGCTATTAGACACGCAGTAAAATGAGCAGTGTTAAAGACAAAAATCAATCTACAATTGATCTTTAGAGAAATTTAATGTATATGTAGCCCTTTGAAGAAAATTATTGCTGTTATGATGAATGTTGTTATGGATGAACATAACACTACAGCAGAAATAAAAATTAAACATTTTTGAAATTTAGAAACCTCAAAAGCATGTTAATATGATGTCTACTTTTCACACTGACCTACATTATGCAGAAAGCACCATTAGAGATATTCAAGAATCAGAATTAAAGTATCATGAAAAAGTTTCAATCTTAAAGCAACTTTCAGTAAAGAAAATTTTTCTGTAATAATATCAAAATATATGCCTGACTGTTTGATTGTCCCTGTATGTGAAATCACAGTGAACTTGGGGGAAGGTTCTTTGCAAGACAGTTATCGGCAATATCATTATTATCGTCCAGTATTATAAAGTGTCCCATTGGGCTCGTTACAGATGAACAGCTATGAACAGTCTCTCATACAACACTGAAACTCCAGCAATGTTAGCATCTGTGCCCTGAGGCTTCTAATAAGCTTCATAGACACTTTCCAGCCTCATCTGCAGCCTCCCTTACATCCAAACATTTGTTGATGGGATGAGATCTGGCAGGAGAGGAACCTGCCCTGCCAGCCTTTTTCTGATTTCCAAGGAGCTACTGGCTTGTGCTGCACACTAGCTTTGGCTGCAGCCCACACCTTTTTGAAAGATCCAAATACCAGTAAATATTACTATAATGTCTTCTATTTTTAAAGCTCAGAGCATGTTTTTAGGATCAAATTAGCAATCTGAAAATTAAGTCATATATAGAACTCATGAATATGCTTGTCCCTTTCAGGGAAAAATGCTCTATTATCATAGTCTCAGATTAATTGCAAAGTATTTTATCACTGTAATCCAATATGAAAAAGAAAAAAAGAATGATAGCACCTCACACAGAACAAACAACATTACTAAACTCTAATGAGGAGTTTGATAAAAATGTGCTCTCAGGACATCTTGAAAAAAAAAATATCAGACATCTTTCAACAACTTCCAAGTTTATTTAAATTTTTTTTTTTTTTTTTTTTTTTTTTTTTTCCCCAGGGAAGTTTATTAGAAATTTGTGTCTCACTGAAAACAAAATATTTGTTTTCAGAAGCAACTTTGTTATAAAATACTGATGCTGAAAATATCTCAATGCACCTACCCTAAAATCCTGAGTTCTGAAATTTTGTGCTGACCTCATCATCTTCACTGCCTCATGATTATTGTTTCACACATTTCAAAGCCAGTCCCATCTGTTATTAGTAACTTAAGAAAACTTAAAGGCACACCATCTTCACTTGAGGTTGATAGAAATGTCATCTAAAAGGAAAACTTAGAAATCTTAAAAACTACATGAAGAAGAGCTCTCAGACTTCCCAGATGCCTGCTATGAAAAGCCAAAATTCTTTCTCTACCTGGAAACCCATCTCTAAATAAATTAGATTTTGAGACAGCTCTTCAGCAGAGAGGTAGTATAAGTCCATTTTCTGTCATGAAGTTCTAGATGGAACATTTGTAAGTGAATTCAAGGCTCATATACAGGATATCTCAGTAAATAAAATCTTCATTTAATTTTGTTCAAAGCAAGACTTATTCCATTCTGATAAACCGGATACTAAAATCATGTGCTGTTTTTGCACAATAATCAAAGTGATATTTCAAATGGAATGGAGTAAGCAGTCATTCATTTGGTCAGTTAGCCAATTTACACTTAGGTAATTCCTATCAACTTGTGTATCTTCCTTATCTATGAAATTAAGTTCTAAAGTTCACTGGGGTTTTGCTAGCTTCTTTTTTTCTGCTGTGTGTGCATGTGTGTGTGTGGATCCAGTGAGATTTGTTTTTTTCGGAATATATGTCTGAGTTGAGAATTGTGAGATAAGATTTTATCTTAATGCAGGATGTGCCCTGTTATATTATAGGAATCTGGAAGAAACCTCCAGGAGTTCAGTAAGTAGTCTTCAAAAGTGAAACTGTTAAGAGTATTCAGGAGAGAGAGTCCAGAAAACGTGAAAGAGAACTTTCAAGTGATACTTCTAAATTAGGACAATAGGAATAGTCAACAGAGTTGGTCTTATAAAAGACCAGTTCCCATGATCCCAATTAGGTGATGTAGAATCATTCTATCACTGGGATCTTAGGACAATCTTAGAAAATAGTAACTTGTATGCTGCATGCTCTATTTTTGTTTGCTGGCGTAAACAAAACAAGCAATGACAAATCTGAAACACTTGGCCATAATGGCTGTAGAATCTGAGAATATGTGAGCAGTTGTACAATAACTAGGTTAACATTTAACTGATCAGTTAAAATAGATGTTCATATGAGACACCTAAATAACAACACTCAAGATCACTCTGTAAGATGAATGGTAGGTAATGTTAATACTGGAGATAAAATTCTTAGGTTGCTAGCAAGCTCCCATTAAAGATCTAGAACTGAAAGAGAACACAGAGGCAATTAGTTAGTTGCACATACAGTTCAAAGAGATAGGAAAAGACAGAAGTCAGAACCAGAAAATAAACATTTTACATACATTCAGGAAGTGAAGGAGACTGCAAGAAAAAGGAACACAGAAAGCAAACTTCATTGGGGAACTGCGAAATTTGTCACTATTTAGCTTAACAGAGGAGAAAACACTGAATTGCTCTCTAACCAAGTTATGGACACTATGACAAACCTGGCAATTTTGTTGCTGATATAAAAAATACTTTGTATATAAAACCCCAAGGTCTCAGAATTTTCATTCTGAGGAAAGCCATAGATTATTAGAGATACTATGGTCAATCTGGGTACATTTATGGTAAAAATCATGTTTCCATCTATTTCTACAAAGGGAGAATATGGAAAACAAGAATGGAATATAGATACAGAACAAAAATTCCTTTACTTTTAATATCAATCCTAGAATACAAAAACTATTTTTTTCTTTTATAACTGATGGAAATTATAGAGATATTTTCATATGAATTTTGTGCTATTTTAGCTAATGATACTCAGTTTTACTCTTTCATTATAATGAGGCTGAAGAGGAAAGACCTTCGGGATTACAAAAAAGAACATCACAGCAGAGAAAGTCTGGTTTTGGGTTTGCAATTTCAGGACACAAAAAATTCTTAAGATATGGAGTCTGCTTTGAAAAGGCGTTTAGGAAACAATAAGACAAACACATATGGAATCTATAATTACAAAAAAATTCAATGAAAATTTGATAGGTAAGGACAGAAAGACATATTTAATGAATGCCCTGTACCATACAAAAGTTTAAGGGAGACTCTGCTAATACCTCTCATGGTAGAGAAACAGCTGAATAATATGCTTTTTGATGTTTTTAATGGTGTTATACCTTGGATTCAGACTCGTTTTTCTCTTTCATCTGTGAAGAAGGAGCAGTTTGCCATTCTCTTCTGATGTTAGTCTGTCCCCTTCTCCTTTGATCCAGACTTAGTCACCCTGAAAGGGAGGACGTTTAGCCTGCTCATCTGGTTCATTACTGAGAAATTCTGAAACATCTACTGTATTTCCAGCAAGCAGTTCATTTCCAATTTAAAAATACAATCATCATTACAATGTGGAATAGACCACATCAGATGCAAAACAAGAGTAGTACACTATTTAGAAATAAATTGCCCACTTGAAAATGAAAGGATGGCAGTGAATTGAACTACCTTCTTTCTTGAAAAGATTTTTTTTAATACCTCATATACTTAAGTAAAGCTTCAAATTTTGCCTGGATAATCATAGAATCACAAGGTTGGAAAAGACCCACAGGATCACCCAGTCTAACCATCCACCCTCACCAATAGTCCTCACTAAACCATGTCCCTCAACACAACGCCCAAACGTTCCTTGAACATCTCCAGATTTGGTGACTCCACCACCTTCCTGGGCAACCCATTTGACTGCCTGACCACTCTTTCAGAAAAGTAGAATTCCCTAACATCCTCTAGTTCTATCACCAGTTGCACGAGAGAAGATGCTGACCCCCAGCTCACTACAACCTCCCTTCAGGTACTTATAGAGAGCAATAAAGTCTCCCCTGAGCCTCCTCTTCTCCAGACTGAACAATCCCAGCTCCTTCAGCCGCTCCTTATAAGGCCTGTGCTCCAGACCCCACACCAGCTTTGTCACCCTTCTTTGTACCCGCTCCAGGGCCTCAATGTCTTTCTTGCAGTGAAGAGCCCAAAACTGGACTCACTACGAGGTGCGACCTCATCAGTGCTGAGTACAGGGGAACGATTACTTCCCTGTTCCTGCTGGCAACACTGTTTCTGATGCAAGCCAGGATGCCATTGGCCTTCTTGGCCACCTGGGCACACTGATGGCTCATGTTCAGATGAGCATCAGTCAATACCCCCAGGTCCATTTCCTCTACACAGTCTTCCAGCCACTCTTCCCCAAGCCTGTACCGTTGCCTGGGCTTGTGGCCAAAGTGCAGCACTTAGCCTTGTTAAACCTCACCCCGGCTATCCGGCCTGTCCAGATCCCTCTGTATGGCCTCTCTACCTCCAGGCAGATCGACACTTCCACCCAACTTCGTGTCATCTGCAGTCTTACTGAGGGTGCATTCAATCCCCTCATCCAGGTCATCAGTGAACATATTGAAGAAGACAAGCCCGAGCACCCACCCCTGGGGAACACCACTCATGACAGATGCCATCTGGATTTAAATTCCATTCACTGCCACTCTCTGGGTCATGCCCTCCAGCCAGTTCCTTACCCGGCCAAGAGTGTACCTGTCCAAGCCATGGGCTGCCAGCTTCTGCAGGTGAATATGTGGGAGACAATGTCAAAGGCCTTGCTGAAGTCTAGGTAGACTATAGCAACAGCCTTTCCCTCATCCACCAGATCGGTCACTACATCATAGAAGGAGATCAGGTTGGTCAAGCAGGACCTGCCCTTTGTGAACCCATGCTGGCTGGACCTGATCCCCCAGTTGTCCCGCACATGCTGCATGATCTCCCTCAAGACAATCTGCTCCACAACCTTCCCTGGCATCGAGGTCAGGCTAACAAGCCTGTAGTTCCCCAGATCCTCCTTACAACTCTTCTTGTAGATGGGAATCACACTGGCAAGCCTCCAGTCTTCTCGGACCTCACCAGTCACAAGGAGTGCTGGTAGATGATGGAAAGCAGCTCGGCTATCACCTCTGCCAGTTCCCTCAGCATTCTCAGGTGAATCTCATCTGGCCCCATGGACTTATGACAGTCCAGTTGGAGTAGTAGCAGGTCTCTGACTGTCCTCCTGGATCGTGGGGGGTTTTGTCTGCTCCCCAGCTGAGACTAACAGGTCAGAGAGTGGAGTACCCTAAGGACAACTGGTCTGATCTTTAAAGACAGATGTAAAGAAGGCATTCAGAACCTCTGCCTTTTCCTTATCCTCAGTGATCACATTCCCCATACACATCCAGTAAAGAATGGAGATTCTCCTTGATCCTCCTCTTACTGTTGATATATTTGTAAAAGAGTTTCTTGTTCCTTTTTACCCCAGTGGCCAGGTTGAGTTCAAGCTGGGCTTTTACCTTTCTGATTTTCTCTCTGCACAACTTAACAATTTCTCTGTACTCTTCCTGAGTTGCCCATCCCTTCTTCCACAGGAGATAGATTGTCTTTTTCTCCTGGAACCTCAAGAATAGCTTCCTATTCATCCACGCCAGTCTTCTTCCCCACCAGCTCATTTTGCGGTTCAGGGGGACAGCCTGCTCCTGCACCTTTATGACTTCCTTCTTGAAGAGCAACCAGCCATCTTGAACCCCTTTACTCTCTAAGGCTGAATCCAAGGGGACTCCCCCTACTAGTCTTCTGAACAAATCCACCTTCTGGAAGTCCAAAGTAGCAGTTATGCTGTTCCCCCTCCTGGCTCCACCAAGAATTGAGAACTCTACCATTTCATGGTCACTCTGTCCAAGACAGCCCCCCACCTCCACATCTCCTACCAGAACTTCTCTGTTTGTATAATAATAATAATAATATAGAGGAGAGATCCAGTGGTAATGGTAACTTAATACACAAATGATAAATCACCTAAATGAGAATGTGGAGTGGTAGCAGGGGAAACATGTTTCAGACATTTACATTCTTACTTTTATTTTTTCCTAAGTATCTGTTGTTCAGACATTAGATTCTTTGTTAATCTATGTGGGGGAAAGACGTAACTGTGAGCAAGTCAGCAAAGAGTTTATCAGACTCCTTGATAGACCCTATCACTGTGAAACCTTGGGAGTCTGGAGTGTAAGACAGAAAGCAAATGGTATCTGTTTGTGTCTAAGGGTAAAGAAGAGGTTCTTTTTGTATGCGTTATTAATCTTATCACACTTAAGAAACCTTTCATCCTTTATCACTGTGTTCTGGGAGAAGCTAGGCCAATTAACTGATTAGAGGGATAGGAATTCCTGGCTTGTAAGTGAATGGTATATAAGATGTATGTTGAACACAATAAAGCAGAACTATTTGGAGAACTATTTGGAGAACTATTCGGAGAACTATTCTGATGCTACAAGAAACTGTGAGTGCTCTCTAATTCGACTGAGCGCCAACAGATCTATCTTTAGAGAAAACTCAAAATTATTAGACAGATGAATACAAAAAGATTGTATATAGCCTTCTCCCTCACCATCACCCCGTTTAGTGAGTTCTGGTATTACTGTCTTTGGCATTAAAGCATTTTATGTGACACCTATATCACTCTTGTTGAAAATTACAATAAGGTACTTTGTCTCTCTCCCTTTCCAATTTGGTTTACATCTTTCTTAAAGTATTTTACCAAGAAGTTGTTATCAAACTCTCCATATGGACTTCTCAATTTCAAAATAAGTAGGATAGTTACATCAAGCCTTATTTATAACATTTTTACCTAATACATTTCAGAATTTTATCTACCCTTTTTAATAGCATCAGATTGCTGGCACTTGTTCTTTGTGTGGCCTACTGTAGCTTTAGAACTTTTTTTCTTCCCTAAATGTATAACAAAATTGCCTTCATTGAATTTTATTGTATTGATATAAGACATAATACTGTCTTCCAGCATCCTTGCAACACTTCCCAAGGAAGCACTCCTTAAAGTTTAAAGAAGTGTACTATGTATCCCATCATCCAAGCCATTAAAGAAATTATTGAATGCCATTCGCGAAAAGTCTCACTGAGACCTTGCTTAAAGTACTTTCTCAGTTTGAAATTGAGTTATTGGTACATAGTCTTTAATAAAGTCTAAAATTTATTTCTAATTTTATCTAGGCCATGTATTCTCAGCTTGCTCTTTAGAATAGCCAAAAGCTCAAAAGCTGTGTCAAGATATATCACATCTAATGCTTACTTCTCATCCACAAGGCCGGCAACTCTGTCAATTATATTGTGATATAATTTTCTACATATCCATTTTGAATTTTCTTACAAATTCATCACTAAAAAATACATGTTCTGTTATCTTTTCCTCATGCTGAAAATAATCTACTGATTTATTCTTTTTTTTGGTACACATCTCTCTCCTAAAATTGTTCTACATTGCATGATCCTGTATATTCTTCTTGCATTCTTAAAATCATTAATAAATCGAACTGTTTTGGATAGTTCTTTATGATCTTTAAATTGAATTTAAACTAGTCACACTGTTTTTTAAAGGTTAGATTAAGCACATTTCATTTACTAATTTCTCAGTTGTGACTCTATTACTTTGTTGTTCTTTTATGCTGAACCTTGATAGCTAATATGTGAACTAATGATTCATAACAGAGAAGACTGAAGCAATTGCACCCTTCTCTTTAAGAAAAGAATATAAGTTTTCACTTTATCCTTCTTTGTAATGTTGTATAGGAACTTGACTTTAATAGTTACGTATCTCAGCTCTTACATAGTTACGTAAATAATCTGAAGCTGAAGCCTAGTGTTGCTACCCTCCTCTCAACCCTGCCCAGTCAGCAACACCGTATCAGTGCCCCTACTGTCTGTGCCCCAATCCAGCACAGGGACATGAGAGACTCACTCTTAGGGTGTAGCTCAAGTGCCAATTTATTGCTGTGCAACAGCTGCTTATATATTGTGACACGTGACTGCCCCGTGAGCCCGTGACCCGTTAAGCACCACCAGACCATCCCCCGTAACTACCACCCACCTTAGTCCAAGTCCACCCACACCAAGTACCACCCACATCTCCCCCCTCTCTACACCATGCTACCATGTCCCCTACTTTCTACTATTGTTTCCCTTAGTCATTAGGACAAGAACAGTGCGTAGAGGTGCAGATATACTGGATCCGCTGAAAAAGATTAGTTCTTGTCTACGGGTGTCACTGTGCAGAAACATTCCCAATGTCTGTCACTGGAGAATTGCCCAGGGGCAAGGTCTCTCCTGTTCTTGGATTATCAGCCCGACAAGAAGACTAGATTCCCAGTTCGTGCCTTCCTTAACATCAAGAGAGACACCTCTGCAAGTGCCATTGTGCGGGCTATTATCAAGGAAGCGTTAACCAGGACCAGCCTTGAGATGTTCAACTCCTTGTGGTGCACTGTCCAATTCAGATAAGGCAAGCCCAAAGGACAGAGGGAGAATGTGTCGCCTGTCATAGAAAGTGCGAGACACTTCAGTCTGTCTTCAGTCTGTCTTGTCTGCTGCTACCTCTGCTGGACACGGGGCTGGCTTTATCCATTTCACGGGGATCTAGCACAGACCACCACTACTTCCCACACAAGCATACCTGCGCCCAAGCACCAAGAGCGGCTGGGGCTCTTTTGACCATACCCCATCCAGACCTTGAACGTACACCACTGCAATCTGTTGCCAATCCTTCCCGAAATCATGATCACCCTGTCGTTGTTCCAAGTGGTTCAAACTATATAGAGCTCTTAATAACAACACTGAGGGGCACAGTTCCTTCCGGGAATCTCTCCCCCCTCTCTAAGAGCCACGAGACGCCCCTTCAGCATGGCATGCGTCTGCTCGACAATGGTCTGACTGGTGCTGTTGCCCGTATTCCTGTGACGTGCTTGATGCCCCACAGGTTGCACCAGGAGCGGAACATGGCACTGTGGTAACATGGCCTGTTATTAGTTTTTAGGCATTGTGGGACACTGAGAACTGCTACTGCTTGACACAAGGCTTGCACACAGTGTCGAGCTGCCTGAGCTGTTAATGCAGTAGCCCATATCATCCCACTGCAAGTATCTACCACAACATGCAGATACTTCTGGTGCCCAAACGATGCATACTCGGTTACGTCCGCTTGCCACAACTCTAGGGGGCGCTAGCCTCATGGGTTCACCCCTGGATGTAGCATTGGCAAATTAGTGGAACAGGCCAAGCAAGCCGCCACAATTTGTTTAGCAGCAGGTAGCAGTAAGTTGTTAAGGCGAGTGAGGGCTAAGGCGCTTTCGAGATATAGCTGGTGTGAACGCTCTGCAGCAGTGGCTGTGTCTATATTAGCCATGTAACATGCTGTGTCAGCCAGCTTGTTGACAGCTGAGATAAACCCAGGCAACTCAGAGTGACTGTTGACATGCATGAAGAAACAGGAGTCATGCACAGGGACAGTGCATTATAGAAGGCAACTGCGGTGGGAGTGGTTTCTCCAGTGCAGTCCCCACATAAGGCAGCCATTCAAAAACAGTACTGGCTATCAGTTACCATGTTCGCCGGTTCCTCTTTGCTGTGTTGCAGAGCTAACAACACTGCCTTCAGCTCTAATTGTTGGCTAGATGTGTTTGGACAGATCTCAACCCATTTGCACCATTGCTTACCATCGTGCCACAACACAGCAAATTTCCCAGTTTTCCCTGAAGCATCGGTGAAAAGGGTACGACCCAGTAGTGGCTGGTCACTGACTGGAATCCGCAGTATAATTGTTACCAGCTTACATAGCGTCCCTTATGAGGTAGTTTGCACTGCTGTTACCTCACTGAGAAAACCCTCTGAACTTGCCTGTAGCACAGGACTATGCTGAAGATATTGCGCCCAAACGTCTCCTGCAATCTCAATGGACACAGACTCAGGCTCCTTCCCCATGAGAGTGGTAACCTTTCGCCGGACCCAAGAAATGGCTTGACTAATAAGAACGCCCCATTGAGGCTAAGCAATTTTGGGCACTGCCACATAGCCCCATAAGATCGGTCACTGTATTCCCCTTTGATGTAACGCTATTATAGCTCCCTCCCACTGCAAACCAATGTGACCTCGTAGTCTCTCCCCTGGGACCCGAAAATAGAGGGCTGCGGATTGCATGCGACAATAGACAAGAGATAACACGCTTTTGTTGCGATGATAATTGTCGTGGAACTCCTAGATCCGTATCACCTTTGAGACCGTCAATTAGGATTTTCATATCTGCCGGTGCCAGTGGCACGAACTGTCAGAGCCATTGTATAGCCCCTATTAGAACCTGTAATTCATCCAGGGTTGTCACGGCTGTATCTGCCAAGATGATCTTCTGCAGACGAATCAGGTGCTTCTCTACCAGGGTACCTAAATACCCAATACCTAATAACCCCTCCCAAAGGTCCTTTTCTATGTTGGGCATCAAATTTTCCCCAGCTACCAAAATGTCATCCATATAGTGATACGCCATGAGCTGCAGGTACTTCTCTCGAAAGGGTCTCAGGGCCAAGGCTACATACATTTGACAAATGGTGGGGGAATTTTTCATACTTTGTGGTAGGACAGTCCATTGGTATTGCCTTGCTGTTTCTGCATTGTTAAAAGCTAGGACCGTCATGGCGAACCTAGGTGAATCATCTGGATGTAGAGGAATGCTAAAGAAGCAGTCCTTCAGGTCAACTAGCAGACATTGCCAGGAGTCAGGTACCATGGATGGTAAAGGCAGTCCGGGCTGTAAAGGCCCAGTATCCTGTAAAACTGCATTGACTCCTCGTAAATCATGCAGAAGTCGCCATTGACCTGACTTCTTTTTAATGACAAAAATAGGGCAATTCCATGGGCTGGTGGATGGTGTCAAATGTGCCATAGCAACCTCCCGATTTACTAATTCGTTAACAGCTTTCAACTTTTCCTGAGCGAGGGGCCACTGGGAAATCCATACTGGGTCATCACTTTTCCAGGTCATTTTCCAGCAGGTTACTTTCCCAGCAGCCCCAGCTAAAAATCCGGACCACCATCTAACTTTCCTTCAATGGAAATGCGTGCACCAACAGCAGCAAGTGCGTCGCACCCAATCAGCGGAATTGGAATGTCCATGACATATGGATGAGTCGGGCTCAACTCCTTCGTCATATGGATAACTAAGAATAAAAGGATATACACTAGGTTGCCCCACTGAGATCCCACCAGTCCCTCTAACCATGGCTGTAGACGCCATCATAGGCCACCACACTGGCCACCTCCCTGTGGGCAAGGTGGTCACATCTGCTCCCGAATCTAACAGCGCATCACAATACCACTTAGGTGGCATCGGTGTCAACAATCCTGTGATGCGAACCTGAATTCAAATAAGGGGTCTATTTTTACCCAGCTCAAGAGAGAGGGCCATAAGCGGAAGTCCCACCTGCGGCATCAGTAAACAGCCAGTTGTCCTAGCTAGGATCTGGCTGCTGTTTGTGGACTGGGAAGGTACTTCCACCCCCAAATCTCCTGCCCCTACCCCAACTACAAGGGTTCCAGGTGCCACTGGCTGTTCCAGTATGTCACAACTCCATGCCTGGGACAAGAGGGGGCCTTCTTTGACCCTTCCTTGTGCTCCTGATTCGCTCCCGGCCACAGTGCTCCCCATGAGAGCTGGGCCACCTGTCATGGTTTTATGATTTTTGGTTATCAGTATTCCATATCATAACATCAGCACCCCTGATGTCCAACACCACCCTCTTTGCTGCCCACTCTGCTTGTTGAGCAGCCACACTCATTTCTTTTACCGTTTCCTGCATCTTGCACAACAGCCACTGTGCTGCAGTTTCCACCGCAGCCACCTCTTCTGCATTCAGTTCCTTCTCTGCCTGCCCAGCCCCTCCTCCTCCAATCACCGGCCCGGGTTGCTCCTGCCTCTCCCCCTTTTGCTCCAATCGTGGGCCGGCTGCCTCTGCCCCCATGGCACCACCTCCCACCCGCATACAGGGGAGGGGCCATAGGTGCCATTAGTGAAACAGTGGTGGGCATCTGTACCGTCTCGAGGATATACAAGAACGCTGGTGTAGCCCCAGTGATCCTCCAATTAGACACTGTGGGAGGCCACATAGGCACTGCCCAAGGCACATCATCCTCTGCCCCCAGCGCAACTTCCCCAGCCCCTCTGCTCCTTCCAGGTGTATCCGCCGTCGACTCCTCCTCCTGTTGCCCAGCCTCTGACGTTGCCCTGCTCCCCTGTTCAACTTCCACTGAATCCTCCTCACCCCCCTTCGCAGGCTCCTTCCCTAACTCCTCACCTTCCTCCTCAAGCTGACCTAACACCAATTCCTGAGCCATCCGCCAACACTGTGCTTCCATTCCTGACACCTTCAGAGCCTGCTCCAAGCTCCCTAGGGTGGCAGCATTGTCTGCGGCACCCTTTGATCCTGCCTTTGCTTCCTCCCACAACTCCTCTGCTGCCTTATCTAAATTCCCATGGGATAAGCACTCCATGGGGTTGCTCCCACAACCACAGCGCAGCATCCAATTAATCAACGCTGTTAGGGCTTTTGACGATAGCGAAACCCCTGCCTCCTTCCCCAGCATCTTCAGCATATTCACCACCTGCTACATAGTAGCCATACTGCTATCCCCTACCCGTGTGTGCACACCAATCACGTCGGGGTCACCAATTGTTGCTAACCTCGCAACCCTGCCCGGTCAACAATACCGCTTCAGCGCCCCTACCGTCTGCGCCCCAATCCAGCACAGGGACACCAGAGACTCACCCTTAGGGTGTAGCTCAAGTGCCAATTTATCGCTGCGCAACAGCTGCTTATATACCACGACACATGACCACCCTGTGAACCCGTGACCCATTAAGTACCACCCAGAACCACCCACCATAGCCAGAGTACCACCCACACTGAGTACCACCCACACCTAGTCAATGTATTCTAACTTGTGCAACCAGGATTGAAGCTGAGCCAGCACCTTAAAGCTGTATGCCCATTTGAACAGTTATTTGTACGTTCATCACTGCTAATTCAATCCTTTTCCATTTTCTGGAGCATATTCATTCATGGATCAGTGTTACTTCAAGGCTATTACATTACTATACAATTTCATAAAAAAGAAAATTTAAATATGTATAAATTATATGCACAATGGTGTAATCATATTCACTGAAAGAAACAAGATGATCAAGAAATATCCAATATATCCCCACAAATCTCAGAAAAAAAAAATCCAGTCTATAATACCAGTAAAAAAATTAAGATCTTTCAAGTTTTGATTTATGAAAAGGGCAATTCTGGTAACTTTCAAATAAATTCTAACGTATAAATAGTCATGATTTTTACAAAGTTTTTTTCTGTAGGATTCTTCCAGATAGAGATTTATTTTATTTTAGTAATAGCTTTCCAGTAAAGATGGTATGAAGCCATGGGGGAAAAATGAACTTTTCTTTGAATACCATCTTAATCTAAGTCCTGGAACAGTAGTGTTTGCCAAAACCTATATGAAATAATTGACTACTTTCCATTGCAAAGGAATTGTTTTCAACGTAATGATTATTTACAGAATACTAGTTACACACTGTTACACCTCAGAGAGTTCATTGTTTCTTCAATGCATAACAGCTCGCCTGCTTTGTCTATTTCCAACAGGTTGTAAATGCAGGTGTTAATTGAAAGTTAAGCTGAAAATGCATTATGCATTTTATCCCACCAGCCGCAAAGAAAAATAATTTACATAAATATGTTCTCTTTCAATAACTAGGCAATGTGGAAGTGCCTTGATTTCAGCTGGATCAGAGTTGATTTTCTTCATACTTTATCTATTACAACATAGTAATGAACATAAAAATAGGTACATTTAAACTGCATATCTTTCATTATTGTGCATTCAGTTCAACCATACATACAACTTGATGGATAAACTCTTGTGGCAGTATTACAGACATTTTTTTCCCTTTTTTGCCTAAAGAGAATCTAAAAGTGAGAAGAAAAACACCAAACTCAGCTCTTCCTTTACCTCATTGGGCATCACCTATATTTAAGACTAAGCATGATCCCAGACTTTAACATGAAAGATATTAAAAACCATAGACTTTCTTGAATGAAGTATTGTTACATCAAAGCAAAGCTCAGTGCTCAGAAGAAAGAACAACAAATCTGAGCCACCTACAAAGAAGTCATTGCTCTATCAGCTTCTACTAGTTCCACCAAATGATATCAGAAGGACTCTTAACGTTCCAGAAATCTAGTCTCATCACAATTTTGTATCAGATTGTCATGGTTTTATGTTTTTTGGTTTTCAATATTCCACATCAAAACATCATGTACTGGAATTAAAGTGGTAATGGTCCAATTCCAGGTACCTATCCCTATACATTACGGAAGTCATGGGATCTGGTCTTTCCGGGTGGGGCGGTCTCTTACTGCCTGGCAGTGGGTGCTGGAGGGTGCTTTCCTAGCCGTTCCAAGCTTTTTCAGGTTTGACTCAGTCTCGGGAACTCTCTCTCATATCTTATTTGATTTATTAGTCTCAATTTCAATTAGACTGTATTATATTGTGTTATCTTGCATTCCGATATCATAGTTAGTAACATAAGTTTTCCTCCATAGATTATTGCCACTGTTTTTTTTTCTTCCTTTCCTTCCTTCCCATTTTGTGGGGCCTGGGAGAGTGGGGGGGGCAGGGGCCTACTGCCCCCTGTCACGGGCATAGGTTGATCTAGTTAACTCCATGACACAGATTCAGATATTTCACTTTCTGGATGAAGAACTGACAATACAA